GGAGCACTGGTGGGTTTCAATCAGCGACCTTTTGGTCAGCAGCCAAGCGCTTTAACCACGGTGCCACCAAGGCTCCCGCAATTACCAGAACTGGTTCTAAAATAATATAGGATTTCATCTCTGGATCCATTGTTTAATTTTTGTATGTAAAAGATTTTTAAGCTTATGAACTCTTGATCATGTTACTGTGACCTGTAATATTTTTCAAAATGTAAAGACATTTATTTTAGGGTATACTAGGTGTTCTATTGAAAGAAATAAAGTGGATTTATTTAAAAAGAAATTATAATTTCTCAATATATAATTAAAATATAATTTTTATAAACTCTATTGGCCTTCCCTCTCATGATTTTGAAACTTGCCATGTTGTTTGGTGACAATTTGTATAAGGTGCTTTTCATTTTGGCAAGCCTCTACTCTCTCCAACTATACTTAAAGCCACAGAGGTTTCAAAATTATGAGCAGGAAAGCCAACAAAGTTTATGAAAATTATATTTTAATTACATATTAAGTAATTATAATTTTTAAAAAGAAATGCCATTTTATTTCTTCCAATAGAACACATAGTATACCCTAAGATATAAATCCCTTTACATTTTGAAATATATTACAGGTCACAGGAGTTCATACGCCTAAAAATCTTTTACATACAAAAATTAATCAGTGGATCCAGAGATGAAATCCTGTATTATTTAACATTTGATATGATGTTAAGGAGGACTCATTTTGGTCATAAAACTACAGAATTGTTTAAAAAATATTTACTATGACTTTATTTTATTCAATAATATACAAGTTCCATGTTACAAAGGTTTGAATTAACAAGATTTTATTCAGATTTAAACTGGATTTAAGTGCTGAGGAGAAGAGGTAAGAAGCAATCAAGAGTTCATTATTAAGTAGGTGAGTTTAACACATTTTTTTTCTGAACCTCAGGTGCACAAATTATACTCATAATCCTTTGTTCATTTGTTCACTTTTGTCATTAGTTAATGTAAGGCCTTCAACATTTTATTATTTGTTTAATGAACCTGGGCATTTTTAGACTTTGTAATACAAAATTGAAACCATATTGTTTTTGCATCCACCAGGAGGGGTTGCCAGAAGGCCTGACCCACCCTTTTTCTAACAATGTAGCTTGCACATTATTCCATAGTATAAAAATAGCAGACTACAATGTCATTTTAATGGCTACATGGTATTTCACTGTCTATACCATGTAGACCATAATGTAATTAACCAATATCATACTGTAGGCTATTTAGATCTATTTTGTTTCTGGTGTTTCACTGTTATTAATAATTGCTATGCTGAACATAAATTTTATGCAAGTCTGGGCTAGATTCCTGGAAATGGCGCTACTGGGTCAAAATGCAAGGCTGTGAGGAAGGGAGTCTGACTGGTAGAGACAAGCTTTCTCACAGATAAGAAATTCTCCTCGGAAGGAGCAAACGTGGAAACAAGCAAGGCATTTGTGGGCATATCTGCTTGGCAGAAGTAATAAAAATGAGGTTGGTATAAAACAGACAACCAGGGTTGAAAGTTTGTATCTGAAACAATAAACAACAGTGAACCACTTGTAGGTTCTTAAGAACTAAACGCTGTTAGAGGATACTCCCATCAGATCAACCGGGACACGGCGGCGGGGTGGAGGGGGAGATTAAGTCATGAAAATTTGGCCTTGGGCGGTAACTGCGGAAAACAATTTCAACTAATTAGCTAAAGAATCTGCAGGTTAAAGAACTGAATTTAAAGGGCAAAGAGGAGGGAAAGATAAATTTTGAAAATGATTCCAGATTGTCCAGGCTGGAAAATCCTGAAACCATGGAGTCCTAAGGTCTCAATGAATCAATGTTATAGGGCACAGACTGTTAAGTAATCTGGAAATAGGGGATAGGTGCACCGCAGGATCGGCTACATAATTTGTGGGGCCCGGTACAAAATGAAAATCCGGGCGCTTGTTCAAAATTAATATTAAGAATTTCAAGACGGTGACTGCAAAGCATTAAACCAAGCGCGGGGCACTTCTAAACACAGAGCCCTGTAGGACTGTACAGATCGCATGCCCATGAGGCTGGCTCTGGTCTAGCAGCCTAGGGGCCAGAAGGCGTCGCCAGAAGGGCTGAAAACACCCTCGCCTTCTTAGGGTGAGCAAGCCGCAGAAGGCAGGCCCAAGGGAACTAAGGGCCCTCGCTCCCCTCCCTACCACAGGGGACTCAGGGCGGATGGAAGCTGGCTCACGTCTAAGGGAGTGCAGGCTAGGGGCTGATGTACAGCGAGGACCCGGGCCTTTGCGCTGGGCACAACGAGGTCACTTGCCCCAACACTCCTTCCCCCAACCTGGGGAAGGATCCCTAGACGTGGCAAGTCCCGGCCTTGGACTCAGCTCAGTTACTCATAAACCCGGAGAAGAGGGTGGAGGCGGCGCGCGTGCACATCCTGAACCCGAGGCCTGGGGCGGGGAGGCCCCAAGAGAACACACAATCTAGGGAAGGTCTACAAATAGTGAGTTGCCAAGGGGGCGACAAAGGGAACCCACGCAACCGGAAAGGCCGTTAGAGGCCGACGGGTGCGTTAGGGAGCGTCTGCAAAGACCGCGGAGAGGGGCCAGGGATCATCCAAAAAGAAGCCAGAGCGGCTAGGGGTCGTATAGAAAGGGCCATACCCACAAGAACGAGGCTTTCGGATAGTCAGGTGTCTAACAGACACATGAAAAAATGCTCACGATCATTAGCCATTAGAGAAATGCAGATCAAAACTACAATGAGATATCATGTCACCCCAACAAGGCTAGCATTAATCCAAAAAACACAAAATAATAAATGCTGGAGACGTTGTGGAGAGACTGGAACACTTATACACCGCTGGTGGGAATGTAAAATGGTACAACCACTTTGGAAATTGATTTGACGCTTCCTTAAAAAGCTAGAAATAGAAGAACCATAGGATCCAGCAATCCTGCTCCTTGGAATATATCCTAGAGAAATTAGAGCTGTCACACAAATAGATATATGCACATCCATGTTCACTGCAGCACAGTTCACGACAGCAAAAAGATGGAAACTACCTAGATGCCCATCAACGGACGAATGGATAAATTATGGTATATCCACACAATGGAATACTATGCAACGATAAAGATCAACGATGAAGCCATGAAACATAACATGGAGGAAGTTGGGAGGCATTATGCTGAGTGAATTTAGTCAGTCACAGAAGGACAAATATTGTATAAGACCACTATTATAAGACCTCAGGCAAAGGTTTAAACACAGAAGAAAAATTATTTGATGGTTACGAGGGTGAGGAGGGAGGGTAAAGGTTATTTACTAACTAGATAGTAAATAAGAATTATCTTAGGTGAAGAGAAGGACAGCACACACTACAGGGGAAGTCAGCACAACTGGACTAAACCAAAGCTAAGAAGTTTCCTGAATACAATCAAACACTTTGAGGGACAGAGTAGTAAGGGTATGGGGAGCATGCTTTCAGGGGACATCTAGGTCAATTGGCGTAACAAAGTTTATTAAGAAAATGTTCTGCATCTTACTTTGGTGAGTGGCGGCTGGGGTCTTAAAAGCTTGCAAGCGGCCATCTAAGATGCATCAATAGGTCTCAACCACCTGGAGTAAAGGAGAATGGAGAACACCAAAGACACAAGGAAAGTATTAGCCCGAGAGACAGAAAGGGCCACATAAACCAGAGACTGCATCAGCCTGAGACCAGAAGAACTAGATGGTGCCCGGCTACCACCAATGACTGCCCTGACAGGGAACACAACAGACAGTCCCTGATGGAGCAGGAGAAAGGTGGGGTGCAGAACTCATATTCTAGTAAAAAGACCAAACTTCATGGTCTGACTGAGACTGGAGGAACCCCAGAAAGCATGGCCCCTGGACTCTCTATCAGCCCAGAACTAAAACAATTTCTGGGCCCAACTCTTCAGACAGGGATTTGACTGGACTTTGGGACATAAAGTGATACTCGTGAGGAGTGTGCCTC